GGGGGTCGGGTAAATAGGAAATAATAATAGTAATAGGAATAATAACCCCCGGGCCGCGCCTGGCAGGGAGCAGCAATCCTAAGCCGCCATCTGGCGGTATCTCGCTCACCGGAATGGCGCCGCCGCTTGTCCGGAGAACGGGCGCCCTCTGGCGGAGACAGACCGGGAGGCCCAGAGGGGGCGGGGTTCACCCGATCGCCATGGAAACGGGCGGGAGAGAAAAGGCGGGGCTGGCTTAACAGCCTTGTACTCAGGGGAGGAGGGATGAGAGGTCGCCATAGCAATGGGAAAAATGGGTGGGACGTTGATAGTTATGTCCCCATAGAAACGCATGACAGTGTGGATGTGCACGGAGTGGGCTATGTTTATACATGTTAACGCTTATCATTGGGAACAGGCAACAGAGGTTGTGTAGGAAGCTCGCAGGGTTTTCCGGGAGCCGTCACACAACTACGTTAGAGGAGAAATAAGTGTACCCTTGTTTATCAATAATATCATGCACGCGCATGACTAAAGTGACACTGCGCCTGCGCAGTAATTAGAGAGGGTACCGACTGAGACGGGATACTGCGCATGCGTAGAATTCTGTGCTATAGAGACTTCGCACATGCGTGTCAGCTGTTTGTGCCCTGCAGGGAGGTTTCTCTGTTGCCTTGGTAACAGGGACGTCACGGAGAATTGGAAGATTTAACTTGCGCTGCACAGTGCTGCCACCTACTGAAATTCGAGCGCAGTTGCACAGGCTACCAGCGATTCACTTTGAATATGACTGCCTATGTGGTGTCATTTGCAGTTTTGTCTGACTATGAAATAGTTAATTTAACCTCTTTTTTGTTGTTGTCTCTAACTTAGACAACAAAGCACATAGGGGGGAATTTATAAAAAGTGGAGCAATTGCCCATGGCAACCAACCATCTTCTCTCTTCAGTTTGTTCAGTTCAGCTTTGAAAATGAAACAGAGAAACTGATTGGTTGCCATGGGCAAAATAAAATCTTGGACCAGGGGTCAGTGGCGTCACAAGTGGGGGGTGCGGTAATGACTGACAGTCATTTTGGTGTCACCCCCTAAGTCGGGCACTCGTCTATAGACCGAGAGCCCCGACAGCAGCATGAGAGAGAGGAGGGGACCCGGGGGCATTTCTGATCCCGCCGGGTCAATATCCCCTCCTCTCTTTGCCGACGTCCATCACCAAGATGGCTGCCAGCAGGAAGTACATGACCTCGCATTTGTGATGATGTCACACACCGCCCTGGTGCCCTCGCTGCCAGGGGTCAGCATCCTTTTCCACATTAAGGCCCCATTCACACCAGATCCATTGGCATCCATTTTTCAACGGATGCCAATGCAAGGGCATCTGAAAGTGTGAATGGGAGCAGTTCACACCATTGCGTTGCGCTGCCCTCCGATGAAAAAAAAGAAATCAGAACAGGCTCTCCTTTTTTTCAGTGCAATGCAATGGACTGGTGTGAGCTGCTAACATGTAAAAGTGAGGCAGAACCAACACTTTATGCAGCTTAGGGTAAAAATCAAACCAAATAAAAAAGTAAAAGTAACTGATGTCAATGCACTATGCAAATAAAGTCAACGGACCTCCGTTAACTTGTGTTTTTGGCTCTAATTCCGGTATGAATGCACCATAAAGCTGTCCAAAATTCAATCTGTGGGTGGCCCTGGCGGCACCTCCCGCCTCAACAATAGTCGACTTTTCAATGGACTTTTAGTGACCAGACATAGAACAACAAAAGGAGCCGGGCAGAAACAACTGCAGTCACTGTTTGGGTATTTAGACAGCCGCAGATTCTGGCTTTTTGATTACAGAAGCTGGCCACACACCTATAGATTATCTGCAGATTTTCTATGGTCAGCGTAAGGTGTGTGGCCAGCGTAAGGGAGATTCCTGCGTCCACACTGTTTTGTATGGATGGAGTAATCAAGCGTTTGTTTTTTTAAGAAGAAGAAAAATCATAAAGTGTACAGCCCGCTAAAGTGTCAATTTACAAGACAGCCGGCGTGCCAGTGAACAATAGAGCAGTGTAGTTCTATAGTTTCTTTTCTCATTGCGCACTCATAGCTGTACTACTAAACGGCACATTAAACTCATGAATTATTAATGTAGTGACAGGTGCGCACACAAAACATGTTCATATTTACCGGTAAGTGAGGAGTCAGCTAGTCAAGCAGTGTCAGTGTGATCCCCGTACCTGTCTGTCATGGTTTTGTTGTTCTACGTCTAGTCTTTAGGATGGTCATTCCAGCTACTCTAAATTACCTGTTGGAAGTCGGCTTCTACATTCACCTCACACTGTCTTTTATGTATGAAGAAATCTTTTCCCACATCTAAAAGAGGGTCCAGTTGCTTGAGATTAGTGGAAGGTCGCCATTTTCAAACATAACAATTTGTCTGGGAAACAATAAACTACAACAGCCTTTCTAGACCAGGGTGCCTTTTGCCTTCCACAGGGTGCGTCAAAATTTTCACACAGCGTCAGATGCCCTTCCATGGTGCAGGGGGGGCTTGTGATGTGAAGACAGGACTCTGATGTGAAGACGGGACTCTGATGTGAAGACGGCACTCTGATGTGAA